ATCAATTAGCCCATTTTAATTTGAAGTAAATGAATATACTTTATGTAGTTTTGCTGTAATATTAATATCTACTTTTGGTATTTATATGCATTGAATTAATCTTTTTCGACGGCTAGTTATTTGTATATTTTTGAATTGAGCTACGTTAATTTGTAAAAGTTACGAATAAAATGTCATTAGTTGTATTTATGTAGTGTTGCTGAAAATATTAAAAAATTTAATTATGGTATGGAATCGAACGGAACCGAACCGACCCGAACCGAACCGAACTGAACGAAACCGAACCCGAACGGTTCCATAATTATATTTGGACCCGACGTGTCCATTTATTAAATACCCGAAAGTTTTGGGTCGGTTCGAATCTCTTTAAACCGAACCGAACTGACCCACGGACAGCCCTAGGCCCAACTTATTGTTCAAAAAATGTGGGTCAAGTCATATTCGACTTGGTTTATCTAAAGTTGTGGGCCAAGATCACAATCAATAAAAGTTCTCAAAAAATTGGATTATGGGCAGTTTGGTCAAGTCAATTTTGAGCATCTTAGAATTGTCCATGGTCTTGAGAGAGAGAGACATAATACATTATTATTATTAATTGAGATTTCTAGAGGCTCAAAAGGCTGACTATCTCAGTCTTCCATTCAATGTTAGTTAATTACTAAACTATGTATCTGGAATCTACCATGGCTGCTTCTTGGGACACTTCCGAAACATTGTCCATAGGAGTTGAGAGGCGTTGTCCAATTTGCAGTCTACTCAATTAATTATTGATATGTTATTTTAAATTATCATATTATCAATTTCCCCTCAGAATTTTCTAGCCTTAAGTCTATTCAGAAATGCATAAATATCGACAAGGATCTTGATACACGTATCTAAATTGAATCTTTATTCACTATACATGTATATAGATTGCAATCTCGTCCCAAGTCATGTTCTAGCTAGGTTAACAAACACTTAAATCCCTTGATTTTGAGTAGAGTTTGTGAAAGTCGATCGGAAAAATTAGTGGATTTTAAGTTAATTATGACTTTAAAACAAACTAAGATTTAGTAGTGTAAATATGTTTCCTAATTTATTGTTATTTTAGTGTGTCGAATTGTCTATCTTAGCCCCTATTTTATTGAGATTAAAATTAATTTTTTTATTAAATTTTGATAAAAGTTGATGAAACGCATGGTTTGAAAAGTTGCGGATCCCATAAAATATGTGGTAAAATTAGCTGTTAATTTTGATTTGTACCAAGTTAATATGATTTAGTGGATTGCAACAAAGTGGGGGCTAGCATATCGAACCAATCATGCAAGGGATTAGTCGATTAGGCGAATCACCAACAAAGTCTTGTCTTTTTCCATTGGATAATTCCCAACCTTTTCATGTATCTTGAACCACTCATTGATGTTTCATTTCTTTTAGTTGATAACACAACCCTTGAAATTATACGAAATTAATGTTCGTTTTTGTTCATCATTTGGGACAGTGTATGATTCTTGATCGACACATTGACATACTTGATGTTGAAAATCGTATAATATTGTTATTTGTTGATTTTTTTTTATATATATTACGACAGCGTAAGCCTTCTTATCATCAGAGATTTTCAAAAAATGGAATGAGACTGGACGAGAATTATAAAATCTTTTTGTCAAACGTCATGAGGCGACTATAATAATTTACTTTGAAAGGTCGACTATACTTATTTAAAACTTGCACAAGCGAAGCCTTTGAAAACTTTCCACGTCAAGCCTGTTAATATAAATTAAATTTACACGTGTGAATGAGATGCTTGAAATGGAAGAGGATTAATTAATAATAATACGTCATGATTTGCTTAATCATTTTTGAATTAGCATAGGTCAGGATATTATGCTTCCGGTGCAATGAACCTAAACCAATGATTGCAGGTTATGTTGTTTTATTTGCTGCTTTTTTTTTTTTTATATAATATTTTAACACAAATGATTATGTCAATAAGAACATTGCTACACGTACAGGAAAACCATACAGAATATTTACAGGATTTTGAAATAGAGAGATTTCATTGGAGGAAAAAAGAAAAGATAAAAAAACAGGCCAACAGCTCTTTGTCACATCAGCTTTCTGTCAAAACCCTGTTAAAAATCCATGTCCTTGCATCTTTTTCCATGTCAATAAAAGGGTATAAGTTACTTCTTTCATATATATTTTTACTTTTATCACTAACAAATAAATAATAAATAAAAAATAAAAGAACATCATAACTAGCGTTGAACTTTTCAACACCTTTTATACCCACAAGTCTTTATTTGACTTCTTATTTATAATGGCACGTCGTTGTATGACAGTTATATGTTCCAACTTTGGTGTTCGAGGGATTTATATCCTATTGGACCTTTATATTTATTGGCTAAATTTTCGATCACGAGTTATCGAAGAGTCGAACTCTAATTGTCTTGTCTCAATAGATTGATCATTTTATTCTAATTATCCATACATAGCTATGTCAACGAGCAGAACCCGATCCCAAAAAAAAAAAGCTCGGGCTCGACTAGAGCTTTTTTATATCGAGTTTTTTTGGGCCAGAATCGAGCCTAGCAAAGCTCGACCAAAAAAAATGAGGCTCGGTCCGAGCTTTCGGCTCAAGCCTTAGCGGGCCGGGCTGATCCTGGACTGAGCTGTTCGGATTTTTTTTAATGTCAAATCTATAATTTTACTTAAAAATTTAAAATTTGTACGATTTATACGTACTATAAATTAAATAAAAAAGCTCGGGTTCGACTTGAACTTTTTTGGGCCCGAGCCGAGCCGAGCAAAGCCCCTCTAAAAAAATGAGGCTCGGTGTAAGAGAGCCCGAGCCTGGCCCGACTCGAACTTTTTCCTAACCGAGCCCGAGCCGCCCAGGCCGGCGAGCTTTTTTGCGATCCCTATCCATACGTCATAACTTTTTTTAGAAAAAAATAAAATAAAAATCGGAATTTTATGTACATCTTTTTAAATAGACACATTAAAAATACGATTTTTACTTATCAAATAATAAATCTTGATTTAATAAAATTCTTTCCTCAAATACTACAAATTATGAATTTATTTTAGTGTCGACTTTTATGCACAAATCCAAAAGGGTAATTTTCTAAATCACCCGTCTTTTCAACTTTTATAAAGTCGGTGTGTGTCAATTCAGTCCAAAATGGCTGGCCATGAAAATGAAAAATCATTTCGCTCAAAGGACCCTCCAATCATTATTAAATTCAATAGGCCCCAATAATAACCAACCCAACCCAACCCAACCCAACCCAAACCTAACCCACCACACCTCTTAGGGTGTAAGGGGTGCTTTTTTTTTTTTTTTTTTAAAATAAAAATAAAAGATGGCCTCAATTTATGATGTCCCTAAATGACAAATTGTGGTATTTGTTTGGATAAAGAGTCTTGAAATGTAATTTTGTGGTCAAAATCTTGTCATGACAAAGAATGATTTTAAAATTGTTGAATATAGGAAATGAATTGTTTTGGTAAAAATGTTAATAAAATCATCAACACAAATTAAGAAAGTCGAGATCAAGGTCTAGTTCAAGTAGTAAGAATCAAGTTAGATGTCGTTGACTAGAGCTCGAGCCTCATTTTAGAGATTAAGGTCTAAGAATTGTGTCGTGAGAAAAAAATGAAGTTTGGGAAAATATTTATAGGAAAAAATTGAAAAAGCTGCCAAAATGTGACCATTGGTGGTCCCAATGATCACAATTTAGGCTCATAAACTTTTAAAAATAATTGGCTCGTCTCAATACGAGTCGAAGCGATCCATCATAAAGACCATGCAAACCGAGCTCGCGACTTGTTCGAACCCTTTTCCATCCATAGGTAAGGGCAAAATTCGAAAAAAAAAAAAATTAAGAAACTCGATAAAATTATTTTGGAATGTGGTAAATTGAATGTGACAGTCGATGCAATTTCATGTGAATGTCTCGGGGCTTAATTATGTTGTCAACAAGATTAAATATATCGATTTGTTAGGATGTACTACAATAAGTGTTTTTTATGGAAAGATCGTAATTTTTCGTGATTGTTAAATTAGAATATTTTCTTTCACTTATGTTATAAATAAGTAGGTGAGGCTATTTGCTCTTTTTGGCAAAAAAAAAAAAAAAATCACAATTCCCCAATAATTCCTCTATTATTAATTAATTATGACAAAAAGCTCAATCTTAATTAAAAAATATTTGGAAAGCACTTAGCCACACATGACAATGAGTGAATTTATTTAAAAATAATCTATAATAAAAAATAAGCTGAAGAATAGCAATCTTTTCACATTTCACAGCGTCGAATCCAAAAAAAGCAGACACATGATGGAATCATGCAACTACACAAAGTCCATATTCAATAACTTGATGCTGCATTTTCATTCCTCTCTCTAGAAGAAAAAGTTCTTCAAAACTTCGATTCAATATCGGTGAATTTTCACAAATTACTGACATATAGAATTTTTTGCAGTAGAGAATAGTCATACTTTTGTGTACCACCTGGCAACTGCACAAAAGTTCATATTTCCAGGCGTTCTTTCAAGAGAAACCCAACAGGGAAGAAAGGAAGAAAATTTTGAATAGTAATCGAAGCCCACAGTAAAAATATCTCTTGGAGTTCGGTAAAACCCATTTTTAACTTCTGTTAATCAAATCCCAATCCCAAGATTTTCGATCCCATAAGACCAGCTTAATTTTGCTTTTACTATAAAAAAAAGTTTATCTCGCTTCCCCTTCAACTCTTTTCGAGGGATTTCATAGACTTTGAAGTTTTCTGTCGGGTTTATGTTAACTTTTGGAGAAATTAAGAAAGTGGGTTGGCTTGAAAGATTGGATTTTGGAACGATTAAAAGCTAAGTTTTTGGGTTGTCGTGGTTGTTGATATTAATATATGGGGCTGGTTTTGAGGCATTTGGTAAAAATCCAATATTGAGCTTTTGAAGGGTGATTGTACATATATATAAAGATATATAACGACAGTCGAAATGGTGAGTGGGAATTTGTTTCACAGTAGAAAGAATTCTTGGCCACCGGCGGAGTATATCAACCGAAACACTTTGCATTTGGTGAGCTTTTCTTTATTTTATTTTTTTGAATATTTTATTGGTAAAAATCTTAATATTTTCATTGATGTTTGATTTTTCAAAATATAATGGCACCTGAATATCCTGTTTCGAGAATTATCTTTATGCAATCCATTTAGGCTTTGGGTCATGATTTGCTTTTGAATTGGTAGAGGTGGTGCAATTAAAACTTGAATTGGATATCTGATGATTTGGTCATTTTGCTATCATTTGCTGAATTTAGGCTTTATCTTTAAATGGAGGCCAAATAATGAAAGAAAAAATGAAATGTGCATTTATTTTTTATTTTTTTGAATAAACAGCCTATGTTACAATGGATAACTTTGTTTTGGTGGGTGGGGAGTTTACAGATTCTTCGACCTTATTAATTTACTGTTTTCATTTTCTATTTCTCAATTCATCATTTTCACTGATTTTCGTTTTGAAAAAAATAATAATAATAAAAAATGTAGGAGGTTTGGATCTACATGACCAACATTTAAAGTTTTTAGCTCCATTCTGTATGCAAGTCTGTCAATTTGCCCTGATTTTTCTTTGCTCTCAAAACCTACCTGACTGTCTGAGTTTTTGCTGCAGCTTGATTTTGATAGTGCTGCTCCTCCCGAACAAGCATGGAGAAGGAATTTAAATAGCCATGCTAGTATTCTTAAAGAATTCAGTGTTACATTTACAGAAGCAATAAAAATGGTAATAAACACACTCTCGTGATACTTAACAATAGGTGTACATAATATGCTCTATTCTCAGTTCTCAATCAATCTTTTCCTGTGCTTATTGTTGATTTTAGTTTCGACTTGGGTTACGTTTGTGGCATTATATACGGGAAGAGGCATCCCATGGAAGGGTAAATCCCTTATCCTTTTAGCATTTGGTTCTTTACCATTTTTCTTCATGGCAATGATACTTTCTATTCTCTTTTAATGTTCAAAAGTCTGTAAGAAGCAGGCTTGTTCTTTAAGCTGTCTTACCGTTAAACTTATTTTTCATCTACTGTCATAGAAAGCACCAATCGATCCTTTTACTCGAGAGAGTTGTAAGCCTTCGGCATCACAAGGAGTTCCACTTGGAGGAATGGGGTAAGTAGTGGGTGAACTTTATGATAACTATTCTTTATGTATCTAATATTCTTGTCCACCTAATGGAGGGTCACTCTTTTTAATATGACAGAAGTGGAAGTATATCCCGAGGTTTTAGAGGGGAGTTCAAGAGTTTTCAAATTCTTCCTGGTGTATGTGAGACTTCTCCTGTCATGGCCAATCAATTTTCAGTAAAGTCCTTCTCTTTTACTTATAATTTAATGGCAATTTCCTGTTGAGCTTGATGTTTGTGCTACCTATATGCTGATAAAGATGCAATTTGTTTGTGTAATATTGAATGGAAAATAGTCCATAACATAGCGCTTGGCATTTAAAATGTTCATCGGAAACTTCTCTGCACTATAACATTTTCGATTTCTACCAGTTAATTTTTTTTTCTTCTATACAACTATCATGCATCAACATTTCTAGGAGGCTGAACACATTGTATCTAGAATCTTTCTTTGGCATGTATAATGCATTTCTATATGACTTTAGTCTGAAGCAAAAGTTAGCTGTGTGAGGAAGTCTTTATGTCATTTCAAATGTCCGACCTTTTTTTTTTGAGCTGTGCATAAGTGCTGTCCCATCCCCTTTTTTCGTTTAGTGAATCTTTTGGACCACATAAATTACTGATGCAATTTTAGCAAAATCGAATTGCACTATCTGAAGATTAAGGTATCGAAGAAAATAGAAATTATGTAGTAATTCTGGAGCGTCATTGTTGCAACTTTATGTCAAGGGATTCTACTTGCATTTGTTTATGGGAGAATATATTTATTGACAGAGATTGTGGTGCTGTCTGGTGAGATTTTATTTGGGACTGCGTCTTGACATCTAAAGTAGATTGAGCTGAATGCTCAGTTGATACCAAACTCTGAATGATGTTCTTCATATTTATTATTTTGTTTGAAATTTTCCGTTATAATAATCTGTTGCCATGGTTTTGCCTTTGCAGATGTACTTTATGAATCCTTGAAACAAATATATTGAAGAATAATTTTCTTCTAAAAATTTTCCAGGGTAACTGATGATTGCTTGTGATTATCTAATCATTCATTCGATACTGCAGATTTTCATATCTCGAGATGGAGGGAACAAAAAATATGCATCAGTTCTGGCTCCTGGCCAGCATGAAGGGTTAGGGTAAGGAGAATAATACTTGAATTTTAAACAGAAATTTTCTACATCTGATCGGTTTTAAAACCAATTTTATGGTTGTCTTGCTTTTGGATCCGAAAAAAAAAAAAGCGTTCTCTGACTATTTATCCTATTTGCTATATTTATATTCATCAATATTTGCTAGCAGTTTTTGGTATTTATTTTCTCTGTTCTGCTATCAAGTTGCTTTTTAAGACTGTACAAAGAGTGTGGTTATTATACCAAATGGCAAGGACCTATTGAATTACCGTTTTTGCTGTTAATGATGTTATTTGTCACCATCATTTTTGGCTATCGACAGAGACTTTTTTCGGTCCATATATAAATCTTTGTTATACATTCCGTTCATTTTGATTTTTGCGTTCACTGGGCATTTTTAAGGTGAATTTTTATGGAAAAATGTATTGCTGAAACACTTGATTGTTTGCCCTTGATACTTATTTGAACATTATAAAGTTAAGATGCATATTGTGTTTTAATATGGCTGTATGAATATGCCCTTGTTCGAGCCACATTCTCATTTTTCTACTCATTTTCAACCACACATTCTTCAATAAAATAATATTTCAATAACTTTTTCCTTATTTTTTAACCACATATTCCTATGGCCGTAAATGGATCCGATATGGATCGGATCTGCCTATATCTGATCCGATCTGATAAGAAAATTTATCCGATTCGATCTGATCCGATAATCCAACGGATATTTAATTGCTAAATCCATATCCGATTTGCAATGTTAATGNTTTTTTTTTTTTGGGTCTTAATATGGCTGTAGGAATAAAAATACATTAATATTTTATGGGTTTATTTCTAAAAATTGGGATACCTTTTGATTTTCACAGTTGAACTTTACAGCTGTGGTTGTAGATGAGAATTGAGCTCAAGGTTTAGGCTTTTCAAGATAAGCTTGATATCTTGTCAAGCCTTAAAAATTGCAACTTGGCTTGTCTAATCTATCCGATTGCAAGCTGGTCTTGAATAACTTATTTAGTATTCAGGTAGTTTTTAACTGAATTAGCACAGCTCAAAAAGTTTACGGGTATAAAAATGTGTAAAAACTTGGCTTGTTCCATCATGAATGAGCTTTACAGGAATGAACCAATCCCAAGTGCTTTGAGCCTATTTACAACAATATGCACAGCTAAGGGTCTTCTTTTTGTCCTTTTTATTTATTTTTTTTACATTTTTTACTTTTCATGTTTTATATTGTTCTTTCTTCTCTTTTTATTTTTGTGAGATGGCTGAGGGGTGGGGAGGGTTCTTTAACCTTTTCTTTTCTTTTATATTTATATTGAAATATAGAAAGTAAGGCAAGTTAGCCATCTAATTAAAGATAGAGGTAGTACGAGGTTCGAAAATTGAACTTATATTGTTCTGATCCTTTCTCCTACCGTTGCTTCATCTCTCAAATGGGAATATATGAGTGGGGTGGGGGTGGGGCGTATTCCTATATATGATGGGATGACAGTTTTGACAAGGTGTCAAATGGATGGTAACTATAAACTGGACCAGGGACTCTGGGGGGTTGGGTCAAATGTATTAATTGAATTGTAATGTCCCTCGTTCACTTTATCACCGATTTATGTTATGGTAAAATCTTGAGCTCAACTTTGCTGATGTTTTTGAAGTTTCGGCTTCAAGATAAAATTTATGACCAGTGTGTGAATACAGATTTGACAAGTAAATTGTTTGATAGGAAATCTGGTGATCTTGGTATTTCATCATGGGGTTGGAATTTGACTGGTCAGCACTCTACATATCATGCACTATTTCCTAGGGCATGGACGATATATGATGGTATTGCTATAAGTTGTTTTGTATGGTAAAATTGTGTTTTAATCATACTATGTCTTCTGACAAGATCTTGATACCTCCAGGTGAACCAGACCCAGAATTGAAGGTGTCCTGTCGGCAGATATCACCATTTATACCACACAATTATAAAGAGAGCAGTCTTCCCACAGCTGTTTTTGTTTACACTGTATGCAAATTTTCACTTCTAATATTGACTATTATTGTGCTACTACTAATTCTTGAAACATATTTAACATTTATGTTCTTACATCGTCTCATTCTCACGTACATATTTTGATATAAATAGAGGTCTTTCCGAGTACTTTAGACTCCTTTATATTTGCTGTAATTTGGAAGCTAAAGTGCATGCATTAATTACTTAAATCGTATATTTGATAATGAACAGCTAGTTGATAGGCACTCTTATAGTTGCTACTGTTATCACCTTTTTTCGGTGGAACTAGACTTCAATTTTTTTACGTGAGCAGAATTTTATAGGCTACTTATTTGGAAGACCATTCGTCCTGTAACCGAAGTGTTGATCCCTTAGAAGGGAATTTTCATCTATTTTATAATTTTATCTTTAGAAGACCATCCATTAAGTTAGTTCCTGAATCATGAAAGGGATATTGATTCTTTACTTATATGGCATGTTTTCTGTTCTAGTTGGTAAATACTGGCAAGGAAAGGGCAAAGGTCAGCCTTCTTTTTACATGGGCGGTAAGTTTTCTGCTAATAACTACGGTAATCTCGGCAGTTAGAGAACTTGGCCAAGTGCTTTTGTATTCTATTATAGCTGTTTGATTTTTATCTTTTTTTCAGAATTCAATTGGAGGTATCTCGCACCTGTCAGGAGATCATGTGAATGAGCCATTTATGTGAGTACTTTCTGTGCAATGATGTTTTGTTGGTGTTGCGTGATTTTGTTCTAATTATGATACTTTGTTTCTTCTTGCTTTTCCAACTTCTTTTTGTAGAGGAGAAGATGGAGTTTCAGGCGTACTGCTACATCACAAGCAAGTCATCAAACTTTATAGCTATATATGACGGCTGGTTTGCAGATATTTCTTTGATTGTTCAAAAATGATGTGGATTGTTATAATGAAAACAAAAATTAAAAATATGGCCGAAAGTAAGTTTATAATTTGATCCTGGATAACTACGAGTTGAAGGTTTACCAAGGAAATAAGGGGAATATTAGTAATGAACATTCTCGTCAACTCCAGCATTCACTTTTATAACTATGGAAATATAACTAACCAGGAGAAAAAAGAGGAGTGTCATGCCAAAAATATGTTTCTGAAACAAAAATATAAAATGGACAATCCAGTTCTTTGTTTTATTGATCAAGTAAACATAAAGAAATCTTTTTTTTTTTTTTTATGTGACAGAAAACTCGGTCACCTCAAAATTGTTGAACTGTTCTGCGATTATTTTTATTTTTTAGTTAGAAAATTTTGACACCTTTTTTCTCACGGGTATTCATAATAATTATCTGGTAAATGACACCAATCATTTTTTCAGTTTTTGTTTTTGTTTTTGTTTTTGTTTCTGATGATGATGATGAGCTCTATATTCATATTTTGGTTCCTTAAATTTTAAAATTTTAAAATCCTTTTTGATCTTAGGGAAAATTATCAAACACGCAAATAAAACCTGACATAAATCCTTGATTTAACTAACTACCAACACTCCACACCTACAATGGGATGGAAAAGGAACAAACTGTGAAGGATCTTATTAGCCTTGGTCATAACTATACTAACCAGTTATTATATTATTGAAGTATTTATATATTTTTCTGTCTTACAAAATTCCCGTTTACTGAAGAAGACAAAGATTTGCATGGTTGAAGTGTAGTCTTTTAATCTGCATTAATAAAACACCAGTTGCTCATTCGAGGCAGTCATGAGAAAAAAGAATTATGTTTCACTGGTGTGGTAGACTAGTAGTCTTTTAACAAGATACAAGCTACTCATACAAGAAGGGATGGAACATTCTTGATTTTATAACCTTCTGAAATCGAGTAGGGTGACTATGATTTTCAGTTTTTGGTCACGAGAAAAGCATTGACGTTTCACAAGTGTGGTCGCTTAAGTTCTATAAATCAACCATAAAACTCAAGGATTTGTGTTATTACCTTTTTGAAGTATGACTGCCTAAAACAATTGCGAAGCTATATTATTATAACGATTACCATTAAAGTGGATTTTTAACTGCATTGAATATTGAAGGTATTAGTAGGTTGACATCATTTTGTAAAGTGTTGTGTTTTACTGGTTTTAAAGCCTTCTTGTGTTTTTTGTCCACAAAAGTGTTGCACCATTTTGAATTCATTTATTAATGTCATAATTTTTATGGAAAGTGAAAATATCAAGCAAAGAATGACAATTGACAAGATAAAACCTTCACTTTATTACAGAAATACAAAAATTTACATTGGCTCCCAACATTTTGTTCAATGTGGTTAGTTAATAACAAAAACTATTGTCTTCTCTTTTTTGTAATAATAATTGCAGGACAGCAAAAGATAACCCTCCTGTTACTTATGCCATAGCTGCATGTGAAACTCAAAATGTGAGTGTATCGGTTTTGCCTAGTTTCGGATTGACTGAAGAAAGCTGCGTAACAGCGAAAGATATGTGGGGTAAAATGACAGAGGTAATGATTCCAAAGCATGTTGACTTGTCATATTTTGCTTTCACAATGAGCCGTTTAAATTTTACATTCGGGTGGCGTGTTGAACTTTATATAGGAGTTCTGCTTTGTCAGTTTTTGGCTGTACATAGTTTGTTATTGCTGATTCACGTGTCTGCTTTTTAAGGATGGCTATTTTGACCGGGAGAACTTCACCAAGGGGCCAACCATGCCATCTTCACCTGGAGAGACTCATTGTGCTGCAGTTTCTGCTTCTACATGGGTTGAACCTCATGGAAAGTGCACCGTCGCATTTGCTGTTGCATGGTCCTCTCCCAAAGTTAAATTTCGTAAAGGGAAATCCTATAATAGGTAATTTCCGAACTTAAAAAGTTCTCAATTGTAACATCTGGATGGCCTGTCACCTATTTGTGATCTAGAATTTTGCCCTGAACATGATTATGTAGCAGTAGGGTGCTCTCTACTGTTAATCATGTAGCAGTAGAGTTAAGCTATCTACTGTTTGATCTTGGTAGACGATATGTATATATGTTTTTTTATTCAGTTCTTTAATATTTCAACAATTTGTTCGTGAAAAGATAAAGATCAAATATTAGAGTAGATAATATGATGGAATTCATCTCATTTTTTAGACTAGACACTACAGCGTAATTCTTCTCATTTTTCATGGACTTTGTGATCTTGCAAATGCATTAATTGTTTTAGATCATTCCACAAAATTAATATATTTTCCCTGTTATGGATATTCACTGGTGAGCTTGTGTAGATTGGTATTCACTTACTATGGTTGTGAACACTTTGGCATCTTTCTTCTGCTTGTTCTTCTTCTTCCTTTCTACCTCCATATTTCATTTATTCAGTTTTCTTCATGTTTGGTGGATTGGAGTTTGGAATATAGTTGAGATAATTGGATGCAATGTTTCCTTAATTTGTTTTCCCTTCGTTTTTTCCATGGGTTCCAGGAGATACACTAAATACTATGGCACTTCGGAAAGAGCTGCTGAAGACTTGGTGCACGACGCACTGACAAGTGAGTGTGATTTATTCGAGCTGCTTGATTTCTATAGTGGCATTCATTGTCGCTGTTTCTTGGATTGAATCGTTCAAGTCTTAAATTAAGTTTCACCACTCGTAGAAAGTCACTTTGTATGACCTGCTGCTTTTTAATCCTTTACCATTTTCAAATCTTTACCAGATTATAAGCTGTGGGAAGAAGAGATCGAGAAATGGCAAAATCCTATCCTCAGAGATGACAAGCTACCAGAATGGTAAGCCATAGTCGAACAGAAATGTTTTCATTCCAGTACTCTAGTTGTCACTTCGTGACATTTGTTTTACTTGTCAAGCAAGAAGTGCTTTCGGCACTACTTGACAGTATTGGTTTCTTGAGATGAGACTCAAGATGCCCCTTGAGCCTCAAATGTTCTACTTCTACTTGTTGTGACCCAAGGTTCATAGTCAAGTAGAATAAATGGAAGAAAATTTTACGTTTATAAAGTAAAAGGCGTGCACAGACACGCATACAGAGTGACACATCTATGAATGATGACAAAGACCTACCGCTCTCTCTCTTTCCTAGTGCGAGATACCTTTCATCTGCCTCAATGTTTTATACCAAGTACCTTAGTGGAAGAATAACAACTAGCAGGAACTTTAGCAGATTAACATTCATTTACATGTTCATGTAGGATTTAGATTTTTGTCTCCTTTGTAGAGTCATTTCAATTTTCTTATACACTCCTTGAGTTAAGATTTGGCCATACTCAAGACCTTGCATTGCGCAAGTCACTGTCAATGCTTGTTTAGTAAGAGTTTCCATTTCCTATATGTTTCTGGTGGATACAACAGTCCTTTTGATGCTTTGCAGGTACAAATTTACCCTGTTCAATGAGCTCTATTTTCTGGTTGCTGGAGGAACAGTTTGGATTGGTACTAATCTATCCTTAACTGATTATTTTCTATTGTCATGTTCACTGCTTCTTTATTGAATTCAAGTTAGTTAAACTGGTCGTCTTTTTGAATATCACTCAGCCTGTATGGCATTTAGAACAAAAAGGTTTAGGGTAGGAGTTGAATTGAAAAAACTGTCGAGATGCACTTTACCATGTAGACCACTGGCACTCGTACCATGTGCACCTTGTCTTTGCACAGGACACATGTTACACTTGGGCATGGTGCTTGTGGTACAAGTTGTACATATGATTGATCTGAAAAGCTTGTAATGCTCTAGTGAATCAAATTATCTCTTAAATGGATTTTTAATGAATTTATATTATTAACAATTCAAGTTGGAACGATGGGTAGCTATGGCACTCTATTACTTTTCATTTTCCATTTATGTTTTCTGTTTGTTTCTGGCTTGTGACATTGTTGAATACGGGGCATAAATGAATAAATGTGTCCCATCTCTATTAGCTTATGCTTTTGATGAAGTGGTTCAACAAAACGTATATTGATTTTTCTAACAATATCATCATGGCTGCCTTTTATCGTTCAATACAGACTCAGGTGCACTTGCTCAACAGGCTACGGATGGTGGTTCTAGTAAGTATGTTGATGTTGGTTCCAGAGATTGTGATGAAACTACTTTTGATAGATATCCAAATAAAGACAATTTGAGTACTACTGAGAATGGTGAACCGAATTGTTTTACTTCCTATAACAAGGCGATGGAGCCTGTGAACGATACTGATGATGTAGGTAGGTTTCTGTATTTGGAAGGTGTGGAATATATTATGTGGTGTACATATGACGTACACTTCTATGCATCTTTTGCTCTTCTTGAGCTATTCCCCAAAATAGAACTCAGTATTCAACGTGAATTTGCAAAAGCTGTCTTATGTGAGGATGACAGAAAAGTGAAGTTTTTAGCTGAGGGGAATTGGGGAATCCGCAAGGTGAGGGGAGCTGTGCCTCATGATCTTGGAACACACGATCCATGGCACGAAATGAATGCATATAATATACATGACACTAGTAGATGGAAGGATTTGAACCCGAAGTTTGTGCTCCAAGTATATAGAGACTTCGCTGCAACAGGCGATTTCTCTTTCGGAGAAGAAGTGTGGCCTGCTGTCCGTGCTGCAATGGAGTACATGGAACAATTTGATCGGGATAATGATTGTCTAATTGAGAATGATGGGTTCCCAGATCAAACGTACGATGCTTGGACTGTTCACGGGATAAGTGCTTACTGTGGTTCCTTATGGCTTGCTGCACTTCAAGCTGCAGCCACAATGGCCATTCAACTTGGTGACACTCAATTTGCAGAAAAATGCAAAGGTAAATTCATAAAGGCCAAAGCTGTATTTGAAGAAAAACTTTGGAACGGCTCCTACTTTAACTATGATAGTGGGTCGAGTAATAACAGTAAATCAATCCAAGCCGATCAACTGGCTGGACAGTGGTATACCGCATCTTCAGGCTTGCCCGATCTTTTCGACAGTTTTAAGATTCAAAGTTCGCTTCAGAAAATCTTCGACTTTAATGTTATGAAAGTCCGAGGAGGCAGGATGGGTGCAGTAAACGGAATGCATCCCAATGGAAAGGTGGACGAGACCTGCATGCAGTCCCGGGAAGTATGGAGTGGAGTAACCTATGGAGTTGCTGCAACCATGATTCTTGCTGGGATGAAGGAGCATGCCTTTACTACGGCAGAAGGTATATTTATCGCAGGCTGGTCAGAAGAGGGATTCGGGTGAGTTGATTTCACTTCGTGTTGCAAATTTTTTGCAAAGCTTAAATTATACTCACTTCTCATCAGAAATATTTTTTTATCCACGCACATTATAAGACACAATTTATTCGAACATTCTCTGGTACCTCATGCTTAAATTATAAAAACTCTCATTAAACAATCAGTAGAATGAAATCTTTGCTTATTGATGCAGATACTCATTTCAAACTCCGGAAGGATGGACCACCGATGGTCACTTCCGATCTCTTATATATATGAGGCCGCTTTCAATATGGGGAATGCAATTTGCATTATCGTCGTCTAAGACTATACTCGAGGCCCCTACGTTCAATGTAATGGACAGTATCGTTGAGTCCCCGCACACTGCAAACTATTCTTCGCATAACGGAACAGGTGTTAGAAAGATCAAGAGCAAAGCAAAGTGCTTTGGCAATTCGATATTTCATTGTTCGTGCTGATTCGTAAGGTTATGCATAAAGTTCGCTTTCTTGAATCCTCGTCCCATAGACTACATGGAGGTTTCGGGGATGTCTAAGTTTCTTTTGTAAAGTGGCAATAAACCGTATCTGGGTGTAACTCGCCTTTTTATTTAGATTTGGGGTGAAACCCGTTATTGTGGGGTGTAATTCATTCATTCTTCATTTTGTAAAGTTGAATTACGAGTTCAAGTCTCTAAGTCTTTAAGTTTATTCATTCTTCTACATGAAGAACGAATTTTTTTTCTAATTATTATTACTCGCACTTTCAAATATGTTTTCATTCATATCTTACTACATCGTGCTTTTGCAATCGAACTATCAATTTTTCCTACCTATAACTTTGAATTTTTCCTAATCCATATTCAGAACTCCCTAATATGTTTCTCAATGATTTTGTTATGCTTAGAAACTATTTGTGGTTTGGTTAAAAATTAGATTTTTAATGTAATTTGATTAAAAGTTAATGAGACGTGTGATTGAAAAGTTGGTAAAAGTTATAAAATATATAATGTGAATGAAAATGAATTTGAGGAAAATTGAATTTTAAAAATTGAGGTCAAACATGGACTTAATTTAATCAGGTATTACTAACCGTTCGATATTACATGACAATTGTCATTGTTAATCTCTTCGTAACATAGAGCCTGTTTGCCCCCACTTTTTAGCCAAATTTTGACCGTTTCTTCACTGTACGTGGGCCCCGGCTGTGAGAGGACTAGTCTATAATTGCGGCTGAACGGTCAAGAAACAGATTAAAAGTCGGATGAAAATCTGGGCCAGACATGGCCATAATAATTCGTACTATTTCAAATTCAGTAAATGATGCTTCGGATCGAAAATCAACTGAATCGAATCGAACCGAACCGAACCTCTGCTACAACAAAATTGTACTAATACGAAAAGTTTCGACACATAATGGACTATATTCACATTTAAAAAAGCTTAGGGTATAATACTGAGATTGAGAAGAAATTCAGACTTCAAAGAAAACCAGTATACGTCGTCGTATATTAGTATTTCTCACCATCTTCATCACCATGATCCACACGCAGATCAGATCATCAAACCCTCTCTCTCTCTCTCTCTCTCTCTCTCTACGATGGATTATCACACAATTTACTCTGTCACTCTTTTAGTAATCTTGTCGCTTCTCTCCTTCCATTCGAAGGTATATATATTATATGTATTTATGTTTGTATGTATGATGGGATCTTAATGTTGGGATGAGATTTGATTGAAATTTGCGCTTGTTTTAGGTCACTGATGGAGCCGGATCTGTTTTCTTCGTGGATAGTCCAAATCACCATTATCTTCGCCCTCCTTCCTCTGAGGGACAGGTTACTAAATTATTTTCTGATGGTATTTTTATTGTTTATATGCTGATATGGATGATATGAAGTGTTTTTAGTTAAGGGATTTTCAGCTTTATCTGTTGGAAAAAGGTTTAAGTTCAATGAAGAAATTGTCTTCGTTTTCTGACGAAAAATTGGATTAAATTTAAATTTGATAAGTTGCGTTGCCTTCTTTTCAAATTTTGAAGCTTTCATTCTTGTTACTTTTTGTGGAACATTCCACCATTTTATTCTAAAGTCACAATCTTTATGAAAGATCATAGCTTTGGATGGGTGGCCATATCCAAAAGGTATATATAGGGCCCTCCTAATTTTCATTATGATTTCAATTCCAGAAATGTTCTCCCCAAATTTCCTTATTAAAATCCTATCATCTTGTTTCAAATGTCTGGTTTACAAATCAGGAAGTTATGTTCGCCGGTTCATTTGTAACGGTGCTGTGAAGTTCTTTGGAACGAAATCCATTTTCACATGGAGATGGAGACAATTGCTTGAAGACTTCAACAATAGGGGAGTATATTGCCTTAAGATCGTAGTTCAAGCGATAGCATATTTTTCTAGTGGATCATAATGATTAAATTGATAAACAGTTAAACTCAACTTATAATTTATTCAAGTAAGCAATAGGAAAATAGTTATAGATGATCAAATGAACGATCTCTCCTTAAGACAATTTTGGTTGCCTAGTGCTAAAGGTCTTTGAGCAATTACCTTTAAGGGGTTTTGTTCTATAAGACTTAGCTTCGTCGTCACAAAGGAATAGGTTAACAAAACTTTCTGATTTGTAAATCGAACTTTCTTGGAACAAGACGTGGAGTATATGAAGGAAATGTATGCAGAATTTGAGGAAAGTATTCTATAAATTGATGATCAATGGAAAACTAAAAAAATCTTATATATAGCTTTTGGATGTGGTCATTCATCCAAAAGACTTGGCCTTTCATGGAGGTTGCAACTCTTCAATGTAAAGGTGAGAATGTTATATGAAAAGGTATCATGATGAAATGGTACAACCATTTGAAAGATAAATAACTCTTAAATCAAAAGTCTATTAAAAATATAAGACACGACTATTCAATTACAGTATTTTTCAATTTAGATTTCTTCCTTTTAAGAACAGAGACAATTCATTCATGCTAACCTTTTTCCAATAGTATTTATTTTTGCATTTGAGTTTTTGTGTTTGCTCAAAACGAGTGCCATGAAGAACGTCATAGTTTCATAAAATTTCTTTCAAATTTTTAGAATTTAGGAACCCCGTATTTTCATAGAAGTTGTCATGGAAATATTCTGTAATTAAGTTTAATTTCATCATTGTTGTATTATGAAGTAAAAGCAGAAAACTTTAGTGCATTTAATTTGGGAACAATCACAAAATCATTGACAATGCTCTGTTAAAGCAAGTCCTTCTAACACCTTTTTTCCCTCATTCCCTTTATTTATATAATTAACTATTGGTTAAGTTGCGGTTGGGTTTCCAAACCTTTAGATGTTGGGTTTCTGAACCTTTCATTTTTCACATCGGATCCCTATGTATAGCTAGCGAACTTCATCACGAAAACCATTTATTTGACCCTTAAAAAGTCAATCTTCCGCTAAAATGACAATTTTACCTTGTTTGATTAATAAGAAAAATTGGGAAAAAAAAATAGAGAAGAAATAATAAAAGGAAATGAAAAAATAAAACAAAAGCAAAAAGAAAAAGCCCAAGCTCCGCTTTCTACCTCTGATCACCGGCAATGGAAGTAGCACCGCCACTACCAACTTGATCTTTTGATCTGTAAACAAAGGAAAAAATTTGAAGCTTCGATTTCCAGTAGTGCTTTTAGTTTCCATCTTCACAATGCTGGTGACTGGAAACCATTAGCTCAATTCTTTCATCTCTGCCAACCCATCAAAATCTTTCAGAGAAAAATAAAGAGAGGATTTTGGCTCATAGTTCCCTTTTTATGATGGAAATCTAGTGCTTGATGTGTAAACATTTATAAAACCCATTTAGATATTTGAGTTATTGATACAAATTGGTGGAAACCCAATTGAGGATTTTCGAATTGAGGTGGTATCATGATTTCTTTTCGTTCCCATTGTTTTCTTTTTCTGATGTAAATTGATGGAAACCCATTGTTCTAGTTTTCTATCACAGTATCACTATATGGTTGCATTAAGACTCTGCCTCGGTCCTCGTCTTTTCACAATAGTCGTAGACGTTTAAAATGAGGTCCGTAGTCAATGTGATTCGCTGATGATATAATCATAGTCGAGGAGACTAAAGGTTAAATCATAAGTTAAACTTTGGTGTAATACTTTGGAATCTAAAGGTTTTAGATTGTGTGAAATCAAGATTGAATACATGCAATCTGACTCTAGTGATAATAATGATAATAATGGAGTTAACAAAGAATATCGCATTGTCCTCAAAATGATTGTTTCAAGTGTCTTGGTTTGCCTATTAACAATGAAAAAGGAATTGAAGAGAATCAAATGGATAACATTAGACTAGGTTCCATGAGATGGAGAAGTGTGATAAGAATTTCATGAGATAGGAAGATTTCGAAGAAGTTAAAAGACATTTTCTGAGCTATGCTATACAGTTCTGAGTGTGGAGTTGTTAAGAACAAAATATCCATAAGATAACTATAGCAAAAATGTGGATGCTAAGATGAATGTGTGGTCATATTAAATGGATAAGAAAATAAATAGCTTATAGATACCTACAATTAAATATGGCAGTTACTGGGGATAAGTGTGACATATTTTGCGTAGACTTAAAGAGGTTCCCATCATGAGTGATGCTATTGTGATAACACTAGTAAGGAGAGGGAGACTTGATCAAAACTAACATGGCCTGCTGTGAGATTAACTACTCCCCGTTAATTTCTAAAAAAATTGGTGTCAGGAAATAAAAATGCGTTGATCTTTTTGCCATTGTTAGGAATCATATTGTATTGTTATGTAATAAAATTGGCTTTGTTAATCCCTCAGTCGATATGGTAAGAACATACAAGATAAAGAAGAGCTTGGAATTTTTGATGAATCAAAACTTAATTTTGAATAGCTCTCCAACACGAGTGAGACGCTGTTTGAGATGGTGTCAGTTTTATCTTTTACCATCTCTCAATTAGATTTCTTATCAGTATTAAGAATAGATGTAACTTGATTTGCCAGTTTTAACTGTTGAACATTTCCATGATATTTGATTCTTTCATAGATGGTCTGCAAATGCCCCTTGTATGTTTAAGAAGTACCTAGTTTAATATCTTAGGTGCGTCTATGCTGCTGGTGAGTGGTGACGAAGAATATTATCATGTCATCAATTTTCCACTACACAAAATGTATACAGATTTTTATTTTTATTTATTTTTTTTGGAAGATTCACATGTAATACTTGATATCTTACTTTCGCAGACTGATGCACTGTCCCTCCCAGAAGTTGGCGCTGCTGTGTCAGTGTTACTTGGCTTTGCACCCCCTTCTACACTTTCTACTGCTAGTTCTTCCAAGGTAAGACAAATGACAAATGATGCTTAATAATTTTCATCTGTTTTACCTGTGTAATACCAAGTGCCTGTTCCGCAGTTGAATGGAGTGCTTATGCCTAATCCATTTGATAGGCCCCGTTCTGTTTTCATGCTTGAAGTTACAGGAGCTATTGGTATGGCACTGAAATCTAAAGTACCTTAAAGCTGCAATTCATTTCTTTTCTTATGGTTGGTAAAATTTTCACTTGTTGATTTGACATCTGTAGATTCTCACCTGGTGGTTGACTCGGACAACTCTGTTTTTACTAGTGCCTTCAGGACCAAGGTGATGGGTAGTGAACACAGAGTGGATGTCCAACTTTCGGGTAATTGACATTTGTTCCTGGTATCTAATCATGACCGATCGAATTCCTTGATGGCTATATTTTATACATTTGTGCAGATGAAGATGAAGTATCTGTGGTCTCTTTGAGCGATCTATTGAGCTATGCTGAACTATCAGATAAAGAACTCAGTGATTTTGTTAGTCATGGCTCTGATTCCTCCCTCCTCCCGCCATCCCTCCCATTTTGAAGATTTTTCTGGCTTATTTAGGCATTATTTGGTTTATATATCAGGCATCTTGGTTGGGTGGATCATATGTAGAAGATGCATCGGGACCACTGAATGGGGAGTTCATAATCCCCATGGCAAATGGTGCCAATCTAAGGCTTTTTATGTCTAAGGTTATTCTTCAAATTCAACCTTTCCATGTCGAATCTTAGCAATAGAGACTTCTTGAGCATTCATTAGTGTCTCTACTTTTTTTTTTTTTTGGTGGTAAAGAATTTTCTTTTGAACATGGCAGAATGCTGACAAGGAATTCATAAGAAGTCTTGTATCCCTCATTCATAATATTCGAAGAGCAATAGACTCGCGTCAGGAGTTGTCTGAAAGTCTGCACAGTCCAGCTGAGCTAATTGCTGGGAGATTTGATGGAATCAAGGTGATAAAAAATTCCTTCTTTTGATTCCTTTCAGAAGTTGGTATAGGATTTTGCTCCTTGTCGTCTAAGGAATGAGGATAGGTAATCCCGGAGGAACCACATTGATTCATAATAGAGTTAAAGTTAGCTAAAACCCAGTCTACTTAAGTTGCTTGGACATTTTAAGTTAATGTATGCTTGTAGTAAGATGTTAATTGATTCTTGATTTTATTTTCTGCATGTTTTGCTTTCACTAAAACTGAGTATCCGAAGATAGAATTTGATGCAGCTGGGGGAGAAAAATGGTACTGAATGGAATACAAACATTCCAATATTTAGGGAGATTTTTTTTTGTTATTTATTTTTGCCACAATGGTATTTGAGCATGAGAAAACATATGTGATGAGACACAAAACTGACATCTGAAATGGATAACTGATTCATTAGTGAGAATTGAGACCAAAGCACTCATGCATGATCTTCTACATGCCAGGTCTTTCAGTTCTATCATCTAGCTTGTGGGACCTATTCTTTCCCTCTCTTGCCTGCTCCATAGGAAGCATTCGTGATATTATATTTGACAACCAATTTTATTTGGGAATTCTCTTAACCTTTTTATGTACTCTGTGCGTGTGAAAGAGACCAATTGGCTGCAGACCTTTCTCTTGAGCATCCATGCAAAGATCAAGGGAACTTATGTCATATGAGCTGAGAAAACCCCAGCTAATGATGTCAAAGATTCATATAGGCGAAGTCAATGTTTGAAGTAGCAAGGGTGCACTACTTTTGAGTTTAGAATAGGGAACTTAACACACATCATATTTCTGAATGCTTACTAAATAGGCATCTGCTAAAAACCTTACGAGTCAGGTTTTGTGCTTATATATTTATGCTATGCCTCACAGGTTTTGCAAGAACATTATGGAGCAGAAGGCATTGCTGAGAATGGACTAGAATTATTTGTTACTTCAGTTTCTAAGATATTTGATTCCTTACAGGCTGCATACAAAGGTATGATGGTCTCTTCTGATCACAACTATCAAACCTTTTCGACATTGATTGTTCATTTATTCTCTTTTTCTCAGAGTCAGAGATTAGGTTATATTTTTGTTGCTTTCCCATGCTTTTTGTATGTTGAAATGTTTGACGAATTAATTTCTGACAATTATTAATTAATATTTACTGCTAAAAAGTTAGCAGTTTTCTATCATTCTGCAGTTAGCTGATGATATTCTCTATTTATTATTTTTTTCAAGTCCTTTTCTCTTGTCATTGCGCATCATAGAAACTAATATCTTGTATTACATGAGCAGGTCAGATTGTTGGAGTCATTATCTATGGTGAAACAATTACCCCGGAATCAGAGAATATGTTAAATGTAGTAGTCACTTCTCGACCATCTTCACGTCTGTTGGAGGAAACAAAAGTCCCTGCCAATTTAACCACCATTGCAGAAGTGATATTGGTTAGAAGGACCCTGGCATGGATAACAGGAATTATTCTTTTGATTGCTACTTTTTTGGGGGTAGGTTTCTTATTAACATATTCCCTGCTCAGTCCTTTATGCTTTAATTAAATTGTTGAAATAGGGCTTACATTGCTATGTTGAACTACTGTTTTGGTAATCTGACTTTCATTGCTTACTTTAAGTTACATTTACTCACAATTTCTTTACAACATTATAAATTCGTTGAAGTTCAAAATCTTTTGACCTTAAACTGGTAATTTAAAATGCTTTAATTAGTTATCATTCTTGGCAGTGCTTTGTTGTTGAACAAAATATGTTCCTTGATACCCTTCAAAAGTGTATAATGGTGAGCTAATTTGTTTTTGAAATCCCAAAATAAAAAAAAACCACGGCTAGGAAAGAAATGATTGGGCATTGATGAGTTATGAAGTTGGCAGCCCAGAAATGTTTCACTTAAACCAGTTTACGTGGAGAAGTTGGACGAAGTAACAGCAAGAACCTTTTTTGCAGTTGGTCAACAAGCAAAGAGAGGTAGGGCATAGGGTTACTGTGGGCGAACACTTCACGTGATTGGGAGCCAAAATTTGATAGTGTAAACAATATGATGTTTGCAATGCTGATTATGGCTTGTTTAAGTTAGATTAGAAAGTAATGGGCTTTAAGAAATGAAGATGGAGATTGATAAAGGTTTAGAATTCAGATTAAGGCCATGAAGAATGAATTTTGTGGTAACCTTGAGGGGTTGCTCAGTTGGTCAGGCCTTGGATTTGCTCCCCAATGATCACCAGTTCGAGTCTCTTCAGGGCCACTAAGGTGAGTATCCGACCGTAAACTTCAGGACCCCGTGGGATTAGTCGAAGTGCACACAAGCTGGCCCGGACATCCACGGTTATCAAAAAAAAAAAAAGGACGACTTTTGTGGTCATCCAATGGCTGCTTCAGCTGTAACACGAATAATTCATGGATTTCTTTTGGTACAGTAGGCATTCTAGCATTTTAGGGCTAGGGATTGGTTTAGTTTTGTATGTTATTCTGTGAATTTAACATGCTGAAAATTTATACCTGGGGAAATATATAGCTCCTCTTTGGTTGAGATAAAAATCAGATTTAATATATTTTGATAAAAGTTAATGGAATGTGTAGTTGAAATGTTGTCGATTCTATTGGAATGATCTCAGTTTGATATTGGTATACTGATATGAACCTTTATGACTTCATGTCTGATACGCTGTTATAATTATTGAGTCTTTCATTTTGTGATGATGCAGGTATACTTTCTTCTGAACATGCCTCTTACCAAGGACACACTGCTGTATTCTAATGTCAAGCTGGATTAATATTTCATGGAAGCTGTTTATCGTATTCGTTGAACATCCGGGATTCCCAGGCCACCATGCAACTTTTGTTTATGTGATCAAAATCTGTGATAGTGAATCTGCCTTTTCTTCCTTTAAACCACTAGTGAAATTCAATTCATATTCGGTGCTTGGTTTTTGTTTAGCTCAATTATATGAGACTTGATGATCTGGGGAAACAGTATATACAAGTGGGAGAGGAAGATAGGATGTTGACTGTGGACATTGCTGAAGGGACTTGTGAGCTATCTGTTGCTATATGTATTTTGGTAGCTCGGTTCTGGATTTACGTATTTTCTGTATCGGTTGCTCTGAGTAGTGCACATTAGGGACCCTGTTTTTTTATTTAATTTATGCATATCAATAAAACTATTTGTTGCTCTGAGTAGTGCACATGAGGGACCCTGTTTTTGTATTTAATTTATGCATATCAATAAAACTATTCAGTTTTTAGCTTGTTGAATCTTGATGAATGACCATATAAAACCCGTTTTGGACCTTTTGTATTTGAGTGAACATTCTGTTTTGCGTTGTAGACATGGCCAAATCACCCTTTGGGGGTGTAAGGATGTGGAATTGTGGGCTGTGGCATCTGAGTCCCCTATGGATTGTAAATGAATAATGCTAAATAGATGATATATTTAATAATATTTAGAGATGTGTGATCAATTTTATTAGATCTATCAGTTAATGCCATTTGGTTGTGATAAATGTTTGTGAGAAGAACAATGCAATCTAGAACTAGTGATGAAGGTTTATTTAATTGTCGAAAAGTTGATTGACCAAAATTAGGATCCCAAATTGGTACGTGCAAGAAATAGGACAATTTGGCAACTTTTAGTTCAATTTCTTGTGTATGAGCTGCTTCGTTGTCCAATGAAGAAAAGTATTTTAAATTTTATTGGACGATGAAGCTGTTGATCTCACTGCCACCTAGATTGAGAATATTTGTCCACCACACTTATCTTTTGCATTGAAATTTGATATTTGTTCAACATACTTGACATTGCAAAGCAAAATCGAGGTTTGACCTGCTAACTCGCAAAATGTATACAAAAATCATTGCTTAGTGAAAATTCCATGAAGCAAAGGAATGAGAAGTAACAAGTGATTTGCGCAAAGAATGAACGATCTGAGAGTCCAAATATTAAAAGTGAAACAATATGAACAATTTATGCAATGAAGATAAAAACATTTTGTTCCAGTTACCCTAAATTAATTTTCGATAATAATGTACAATTATAAATTTAACTGCTGCTTGGGCTCCATTAATTTCAAAATACAATTTTTTCTTTTCTTTTCTTTTCAATTACATATTTTTCAATGTTGCTCTGAGTAGTGCACATGAGGAACCCTGTTTTTGTATTTAATTTATGCATATCAATAAAACTATTCAGTTTTTAGCTTGATTAATCTTGATGAATGACCATATAAACCCCGTTTTGGACCTTTTGTATTTGAGTGAACATTCTGTATTTCGTTGTAGACATGGCCAAATCACCCTTTGGGGGTGTAAGGATGTGGAATTGTGGGCTGTGGCGTCTGAGCCCCCTGGATTGTAAATGAATAATGCTGAATAGATGATATATTTAATAATATGTAGAGATGTGTGATCAATTTTATTAGATTTATCAGTTAATGCCATTTGGTTGTGATAAATGTTTGTGAGAAGAACAATGCTATCTAGAACTAGTGATGAAGGTTTATTTTTAATTGTCGAAAAGTCGATTGACCAAAATCAGGATCCCAAATTGGCACGTGTAAGAAATAGGACAATTTAACAACTTTTTGTTCAATTTCTTGTGTATGAGCTGCTTCGTTGTCCAATGATGAAAAGCATTTTAAATTTTATTGGACGATGAAGCTGTTGATCTCGCTGCCACCTAGATTGAGAATATTTGTCCACCACGCTTATCTTTTGCATTGAAATTTGATATTTGTTCAACATACTTGACTTTGCAAAGCAAACTCGAGGCTTGACCTGCTAACTCGTAAAATGTATACAAAAGTCATTTCGCTTAGTGAAAATTCGTTATTTAACCATCAAATTAGAAATTATGTACAATATTTAATTCGAAATTCCTTTTGAGGAAGCAAGTATTCAAAAAGTGTAGAATTTCTAATGCATTTAACTTAGGGTAGAGTTTTGTAAGCATTTCAAAATGTATATACATAATATTACCATTTCAAAATGACCAGGATTAAGAGGGAAAAAGATTGTCAAATAGTGTATTGATCAAAATGTTATTAGACAAATCACATGACACGACCATTTGATGAAGCAAAGGAGGAATGAGAAGTAACAAGTGATTTGCGCAAAGAATGATCGATCTGAGAGTCCAAATATTAAAAGTGAAACAATATGAACAATTTATGCAATGAAGATAAAAGATAAAAAAACGTTTTGCTCTAGTTACGCTAAATTAATTTTCAATAATAATGTACACTTATAAATTTAGCCGCTGCTTGCGGCTCCATTAATTTCAAAATTCAATTATTTCTTTTCTTTTCAATTACATATTTTTTAATAAAATAATATTACACGTAAAAACCCAAAAAAAATTCTTTTTTTTCCCCCACAAAAAAAAAAAAAAAAAAAAAAAAAAACCTAAGTATAATGGAGCTTAAACGTATGCTTAAACTTTTCTTGTAGTAGCACAAAACTTGTACTTGTGAAAGATAGTGGGGACCTGCGCATTCAATCAAGGGAACAAGTGCTACAACTTTCCAAGTCAAAGTAAGTTTTCTTAGGCAATATTCCAATAAGAAAAGTCCTCTTACCTTTTCCCTTCCTTTCGAATCAAAAGTGAAAATTAATAACCAAGAAACGAGGTGTTTTTCTCTTTTTCATCAAGAGGGCTAGTGATGCAGTATAAAACATAAAAGGACTCTGGCTTTATTTGATTCATACTTTTATATGTATTTAATTATGACATTTTATTTAAGTTAGAGTTCAAATTATGTTAAGGTCAAAGTTTAGTTGAAGTGGTAAGAGCGAAATTTTTATCATATTATTGACCTGAGTTCGTATCTTCTTTGTAAATAGGATGAGTCTTGATTGTCGACTCCTAATATTCTAGGTGCATCAACAAGTTTTGACGTGTTTCTTTTTGTTTATAGTGCTTCTATATGTGTCGACTAATATATTTCATATCAACGAGGTGTGTTTCATAAATTTTTTTCCATATTTTAACGGAACTTAAATGGGATTTTAACCATATCACTTCAAAAATGTTTTAATTGTAATTTGACATAAATGGAAACGTGGCAAGTGAATCATTTTGTGATCGTCGATATCGATGGCGACTGATTATGTCGATGAATCATTTTTTTCTACAGAAGAAGATTATGTAAACACTTACTATAAATCTTCCTTATCAATTGTGGTAGACACGGTTTTTTTAAGAATTAATCACGATACACATGATACATCAATAATATCAAGAAGAATAAATACAATTTTTTTGCTATTATTTAGTATTGACAATATGTATGAAAATATATCTAGTTATATAAAAATAATCTCTTACAAGAACTTAGCCCTTGTTTCATACCAATTTTTCTTAAAATACATTTTTCTCTTTATTGTTTTCAACTACACATTCTTAAATAAGATAATATTACACGTAAATTTAAAAAAATTTCTTATTTTTTAACCATATATTCTCTATCAATCTACTATTTCAAAATGCAATCTTACTATAAAAATTGAAAACAAAGTATCATTGGAAAAATAAAATGAGAGAGGGACAACATGTCAAGTTTACAACGTCGTCACTTGATGTTCTTTATAAATCTCTTACAAATGAAGCTATTAAAAAAAAAATTGTTGTCTTCCTTTGCTATTAAAACAAAGTATCTATTCTTAGCCATTGTTTAGTGGAGATTCAAATCAAATTTTTAGTTGATTTTGATAGAAGTTGTTAAAATATATAATTGAAAAGTTATGAAACCCATAAAATACGTTATTAAAATTAAAATCTAAATTTTAATAGATATCTAACACATTGACTCAATGAATGAAAGTTTAAAAGATCTGAATAATTTCAAGCTACATCTTGTGAAATTTGTTTCAAGATTCAGACATGGCAGTGATTTAGATTTTAGAGATGGAAAGGTCAAAATTTGCAGTAGTACTGTTTTGTCTCCATTGCACACTGATTTTTCACTTGTTTGCTTGAAAATCATTTGGATTTTGCATTTGTTCGTGTGAAAGAGGTGGACCCCACAGGCCAAAAAAAGTGATTTGATGTGATTTGATAATTTTAGCCATACAAATGCAAATTATTGATGCTTTGATGGGATAGTCATGTAATAATTAACTTTGTAAAAGTGTTCAAACCGTAGGACGGCATGGCTCAGGTTTGAGTTGGTCAATCCCAACTTGGCTGGGATTGGTTCAAGCTTAGCTTCTGATCGTGCCGGTTTCAACAAGCAGCAGGCCGATCCAAACTAATATGCTCATTTTTGATGAGCTTCAAGAAGCAAAAGAAGTGCTATCTTGGATGTTGAAATACGAAATATTTTATGTATTAGTATTTGTCATTCTTAAATTATAACCAAGTTGCCCGAGTCGTCTCTGCTTAACATACGTAATTGGTCATACACAACGTGCAAGTGAAATTGAGTTAGCGATTGCATCTACGAAATTTTTCTCAGACAAAAGTGGCAAAATCTTGAGATTAATTTGAGTGTATATACAAGAAATATATTATTTCAAGGACTGAAACAATGATACTGGTTAGTTGAAGAACTAGTTTGAGATTTTAAAGAATTTTTTAAGGACACCATAATATTGGAGTATGAACACATGGAAATTAGTTTAGGTTTGGGATAGAACTCCAATTTTTATAAGTGGCATCAAAGTCGAACAAAGGCTTTGACTCTAGTTAATCTCGATAATGCGAGATTCCCTGATGTTGAGCACTCGAGATAGTAGAGCTTCTTGAGAAAATGTAGAACCGTATGATATTCTTAATTGAAAAGAAATGGACCAAAGAGATCAGCAATGAAGTAAATTGACGATGTGATACTTCATTTCGTCGAAGATTGTAAGAAAACTCGTCAGTGTTTTTTGTAACCACTTAGGCAAGGGAGGTCCTTAGACTCATAGTTATCAGAGTTGACCCGGTAAAATTATCGAATCAAAGGGTCAGTGATTCAACCATTGGTCACATTTATGACAAAGGTTCTATAGGTGCCACAATGGTAACAAACCGAAGGGTTCTGATTTCCTTTTAAACTTGTCGAGTTCGGATGGTTATTGAATGGTCTAACCGATTCTTAATCGGTTCTTTTGTTTAATGGACCAATTAATTCACTCGAATTG